CACACCCCTTAGACAGGAGCTGGGGAGCCAGCTGTACCGTGTAACGTGAGAATGGATTATCCATCAGGCAAGTAAGTAAAGCACTGGGAAGGATGCAGACGACTGCGCCCTTCACGTGGTCACAGCGGGAGCATCGCTGAGGACGGCAGCCACTGTGAAGTCCAGCAGTTTCAAAAACGGTAAACACAAATTTACCACACTGCCAAACTTGACTGCTAGGAAAAGACCTCAGTGAGGAGAACACGTCCACACAGACACACACGAACGTGGCCAGCGCCCTCTCCACGCCCACTTCCCGAGGGGACTACAGGTGGGCCACAGGTGTGCGCCACCGCGCCTGCCTGGAAAGAATTTATCCATAAAGTGGACAAACAGGGCAGCATGGGGCTGGAGACAGAAGCAGAAACTACAAACGGGGGGCGTTCTGGGCTGATGGAAATGTATCACACCCCTAAAATCTGCTCAAACTACCATGCTGTACATCTAAGTGGCTGAATTTTAAGGTAGGTAAATTATATTTAAAATGCTTTTAGCCTTGTCTGTCCTGGGGATTGAGAGGGCCTCATCCATGCTCGGTACACGCTGCAATACAGCTGTACCTCCTAACCTCAGCCCCAAAACTTTAAGTTTTTAAATACAGTTATAGTGTAATCCCTTTTCTGATCTTCACAATCCAGAAAGTTGTATTTCTAATCCGAGACATCACTAGAATCCCAGCAAATTCATTCCAAACTACCACCACCAATGCAACCCACAGTGAGAGTAAAGACACCAAGACAGTCTCAAAGTTAAGGGCAGCCGAGGGGTCCTAAACCCCATCCAAGGGAGGAGTGGGGACTGAGGCTGTGATCCAAGGCCTCTCCCAGCATTTATTATCTTGTGAAGAAGGGGTTGGCTGGACGATGAGTGACAGTGAGGATGGCGGGAACTCCGTGAGTAACCTAAGCTGGCTAGCCAGGTGGGGAGAGAAGCATCTTTGCAAAATGCAGGGAGAATGGCACGGAGAAAACACGGAGAAGGATCCATCTGCATAATTCAATTGGGTAGCATTTGATTTGGGTTTTTTTTGGAAGCTGTTGCTTCAGTTTCTGATATGTAAACTTTGTGCCCTGGGGACTCAGCCTCAGTATTTCCAGGCTCCTTCCCAGGTGACATTCCTGGAGCTGATGGCTCTGCAGACAGCACTATGCTGGGAAACAGCAAGTGGCCAGAATGGCCCCAGATCGCATATCAGCACTTCAGCGGGCCTCATCTGCACGCTTGGAGCCAACTGGAGAGGGAAAAAAATGGCACAGCCCACTCCGTAGGGATCAGTGTGTAGAAACAGGGCTGATTAGCAATTGTCCTGCATTCAAGGGGAGTCGCTCAAACTGTTTCCTACACAGTCCCACTACAAGATGGTGTGGCAGTACGTGGTGTGGTGGTGCACATCTGTAATCTCAGCATGCAGGAGGCTGAGGCAGGAAGATTGCCCTGAATGTGAGGCCAGCCTGGCCACACAGTGAGTTTACGGTGAGCCTGGACTACAAAGCAAGACTCATCTCCAGAACAAAACAAAAAAGTACCATTACAACAGAACTCTCAGGAACAACTATTTTAAGGCTATGACAGCCTACTTATTTCATATAATTTCCATACAATGAACTCCAATATGCAATTAGGATTAATAGCATTAGTATTTGCTTCAAAGCTAAATATGCTGCTTTTAAGCCCTCTCTAACCCTTATCCATCACTTCATTACGAGCTACGTAATTATATGACAAAAATCTCCCGTCTACTGTCTTTCAGCTGTTTGCTACCCTACTGCTACAGCCTAGAACACTTCATCTCATTTGGCACTGCCTGTAATGTCCAAGAGACACGAAATTTCCTGGGAGCATCTCATAACCAGAAATAAAAATGTGTATTCTCTAAATATAAAGTAGGTGTTTCCCTAATCTACCTGTGTGCTCATTAAGCCACTCACATGCTGCCCGATAAGTTTTCCAAAATTGTTTCAAATCAGCCTCTGGGGCCAGGGACACAGCTCAGAGGCACAGCACCTGCAAGGCCATGAGTTCAATCCCTGTACGAAAACTAAACAACACAAACAAACACAAATCAGTCTTTGCTTTCCTTAACTCTGCTTTGAATTCAATGGATTCCTGTCTTCAAAGCTGTGCTGAACCCTATGCTCAGCCAGGCTGACTTCAGGCAGACTCCATTTCTTGAATTCTGAAGGATCTGTCCTAGAGGTAACGCCACTCCCAACCCGCAGTGAGACCCATGGGTGGGAGGGCCTGGGGCTCAGAAGGCGGAGCAAGGCCTGGATTCCTAGTACTGCAAAATGTAAACTCATCCACTATCAAAAGCCAACCCAGGTCCAGGATACAGCTCAGTGGCACTAGCACCTGCCTGGCAAACGCAAGGTACTGAGTTCGATTCCTGATACCACACAAAGGAAAACAAAGCCAATCCAAATCAAATCTCATAGCAAACAGTGGCAAACCACAACAGGTAAAAAAGCATGAAGCACAGGGCTGGGGAGACCGTTGAGCAGTACAGGGCCCACCACCACGACCACCACCACCACCATCACCACCACACACCTTACAGTCTGAGTCCCCGCAGACAGCCTGCCTGCTATGGCCCAAAGCGACCCGCATGACAGTTTTAAAATCATTAAGATTTTAGCATAGGGGCTGGGGATTTAGCTCAGCAGCATAAGTACCTGCCTTGCAAGCAGGCGGCCATGAGTTCAATCCCCGGTATCGATAAAAATGAAAAAGACAAAAAAAAAAAAAAAAGCATAGCACAAGCGTAAGAAATTAAAAATAATTAAGCAGTGCTTAGAAAAGAAACTTGGGATACGTTTAGATTAAAAATCTCAATTTAAAACAATAAGCCAGAGGCCAGGGATACAGCTCGGCAGCACAGTGCCTGCTGAGTTCACACAAGGTCCTGAGTTCAATTCCTGATATCAAAACATCCAAAATATAAGCCAGGCACAGTGGCACACACTTGTGATCCTAGCACTCAGAAGGCTGAGGTGGGAGGATTGCCATGAGTCTGAACTCAGCTAGGCTACACAGTGAGCTCAAACCAACCAGAATTACAGGATGAGACTGTCTAAAAAAACCCAAAAAGAATTACTAAAGTGATGCCCCGCTAAACAATTTCCCTTTAAAGCTCCATAAAGACAAACACTGCCTTTGGGTATCCTGTCTGTTACAAAGGCTGTACACTTTCTCACTTTCCTGATGCCTGATTTCTTGCCAAACTCTCTACATTGAGTTATACCCTTAGCTCTTTTTATTTTTGAGTCAAAATCTCACTAAATTGCCCAGACTGGTCTTGAACTTAGCAATTCTACTGCTTTAGCCTCACAAGTACCTGGAATTACAGACTTAATCTGAGTACCAGCTCACAGATTAAAAAAAAAAAAAAAAAAAAAAAAACAACCAAAGAAAAGTCAAAAGTCACTTATCACACAACACTGGGATTAGGAAAAAGTTACCACATAAATGAGTTTGGTCAGCAGGAAATGCCACCGAGTTTTTAAAAAATGCTCTGCCTCCAGAATCAGACACAAATAAAGCAAATATTCTACCAAATTGGCATTAAGTAGTAAAGCTAAACCAAGAAAGGGAGATTTGTACTTTTAGAAACTTTCCAATTTATCACAATTACAAAACATAAATCTCTTCACCGAGAAATCAAGACAAAAGTTATCACAAAGAGCAACTACTACATTTCTAGGAAATAAACATGATTACTATAATTGCAAAACTGGAGGCCATAAAAAGTTCAGAAATATACTTTTATAATCAAGTGATCAGGCATAATTTGAACCTCATTTATCACATTAGGTAGACATTACAATTCAAGTTTTGTGTCCTCAGTTACTAGAATATTGTTAAATAGCTCACATTTTGAAAGATTTATTGGTTACATTATCAAATCTGATGAAATCTTAGAAAAATATCTGCGTATTCAATATAAATATAAACATGTAAGGTAACATGGAAAGAAAACTTCTGAGGTACCAGGAAAGGATTCTTATTAAATAGACAAATTTAACATTCACAACTACATAAATTTTTTCCATGAATTCTTAAGTTTAGTCTTTATATTATAAAGGCATACCTTGTGAGCCATAATAAATTTCACCAGCACCATTTTTCTATTCTAAAATTCTTTCATTAGGTTTTTCTTCTGACACATAAAATTACAGCTTTAGAATTTATAATCATAATAGTAAAATGTTGAAAATCTAAGCAAAGTGCATATTAAACTAGCTACTACTAAACTTTTTCCATTTTCATCAAATAAAATTTTTAAAAAATAGCATTTCATTTGAGCAGAGCATGGTGATGCACACCTGTAATCCCAAACACTTGAAAGACTGAGGCAGGACGATCACCCCAAGTTCAAACCCAGCCTGAACTACACAGTGAGATCCTGCCTCAAAAAAAAAAAAAAAAAAAAAAAAAAAAAAAAAAAAAAGTCCAAGAAGTGGAAACCAAAAAAACTTCACTTTAGGTAACAATATGCAATATTACATTGTCGAATTCCTGACTTCTTGTTTTGTAAACTTATTCTATTATTGTATTGGGTTTACTGTTGTGTCTTTTTCTTTTTTTTTTTTTTCTCTTAAATAAAAAACAAAAAACTTCAAACTAGGAGATACCTTGCTTTAAAAGTCCCCAGGAAAGAGATTCTGTATAAGACTTCCTATGCTTTAGAGGAAATTTACTTTCTCATATTACAGATTAAATTCTAACAAAAGGCATACATTTAAAATGCCACAAAAGCAACCATATTGTCAACTGAGTAAAGCAGCCCAATACAGGTGTAAGCAATTCAAATGTAATAAACAAGACTTGGCATGTCTTTTCTCCATAAAATTTGCCATTACAATGCTCTTTCCATGAATAATTATTCCTCCTGGAAAAGTTTTCATGTACATTTTAGTTTAAAGAAGTAACACATTAAAATAATCTGTGAAAAGATCTAGTCATGGCAATTTCACTGCAGTTTTTATTGCCTCTGTTGGGAGGATGACAGGGATTGTAGGAACACAACTGAACGTACAGAGATATGCAATGATATTCACTAAAGATAATCTTGATCTCCAGTGTTTTCATATGTGGGCACTTCTAATTTTACATTTTACTATTTTAAAAGCATTACATTTTAAAATGTATACCTGTTCTGACATTTGGCAAAAAGAAACTGGTTCAACCTGAAAAGAATCAGCATGGGGAGCTGAGCAGAGTAGAGACTGAAATGCTTGTGAATTAAAGCAATTCAAGTTGTGTGTGTGTCTTTTCAGACTCACATACGCTTACACATACACACGCGCACACACGCACACACACACATAAGCATTTTTAGTACAAAATATCCCCTGTATTCAGACATTTATCTTTAGAATAATCACAACACATTCAATCAGTTCTTTTCAGCCCTAGTAATAGCTTTGTTTAATTCTAAGATGCCATCATAATGAACAACCTTAACTTTTATGCTACATAATTATATTCAAAGCTTTATGTACTTTTGTTTATAATTACACAGTAATTATAAGTGTTTAGTACCAAACTGATGACAAACACTATTTTGTTGAAAATTCTTGCATTTAAAAGAAAAATCTGTAAAACCCAAGGCACTAGGCCACAACCAATACCAGATTTTTATGAAAACAATTTATACTGGAGGGAAAAAAATGGGATCTCATTTCAAAACACAGCATACTTGAAATAATCTGAAAACGGAATTGTAACTCAAAATCTTTAAGACAGGAAATAAAAGTACATGTACTTTTACCTTTTAAAATTTTTTCATAATTGAAATTCCTTTTTTATATTTACAAAAATGAAAACAGCAGGATTCTTCCCCTTTTTTTCTTTTTAATAATTAATTCCAGTAACTTGAATGGAAATTTTTCAGTTTTTGTTATGGTAAAGTTATATTCTTAAATTAAAAGTTATGACTGGAATATCAATAAAATAGCTCATTAATTTCAAAATTATGTAAATAAAAAGCAATTTTAACGTCACTGTCCTTTGAAATCACTCTGCATGTGTGTAAGATGCACTGCTGTTCTGAGGCACCTTCCCTTACCATCGGCGACACCAGGCCTCGGGGAGGACCTGGATACACCACGCAAACCCTGTGCCTACGAGGACCACTGTCATCCCGAGTGTGAGCTCCCCGTCCTTCACCTGCCTCACATAAATGCTTACGAAAGCAATGAACCCTTCTTCACACCACAGTAAGTAAACAAAAACGGGCAATTGAGGCAGCAAAGTTGTTCATGGGTCTCGTGACCAAAAAAAGGAGAGGGGTCCATACAAGGTAGCACTCTGTTTTGATGTGAAAACGGAGCTAACATGAGTGAAACAAAAACAGTCAGGAGACTAAATACTTTACAAAAATAGAAGCCAGATTGGTATGTTTCATCTAGTGTATGCTTATCTGAAAATCTCTGCTCCTGAAGTAAATATTTGGCAACCACAGTGATTAGCAGTTACAGTAATTTCAACAAAATAAGAAGTCATCAAAAATGGACTAGTTGTCTGAAAGAGCAGTACCTATATTATACAGATTGAACTTCACGGCTCATCATAACCATTTCCAAAATTTAACTTACACTATTCTTTTATAAATTAAGAGAATTTCATTTGTGTTCCATAGCGCGATGACCAAAAAGGAAAAAAAAAAAAAAAAAAAAAAAAGATGAACCCTCATGCCTAAATTTAGGATATTGTATTGTATAGCAATTCAAAACATTCAAAACAAATTAAATAGTTTAACTTATTTGATAGGCATAGAAGCATTTCAAAAGCATAATGAAATCCAATTATGTGGTGCATAATGTAGACAACAGTGGTGCCTAACATGATGCAGATATTTGCTGAATAAAAGCTCCCTGTAGGACCATTACCTATAAACATGGATACGGTAAATGCAGACTAATTCTGTGGAACCTTTTTGAAATCAAGAGTCTAAAACACATTTCCAGGTAGGCAGCAAGTTATTCTAAAAATTTTTCACGATGGTTGTTCTGCTATTTCTGTCATCAGATACTCTATGTCAACAATACATGTGATTTTCCTGGAAAAAAATCCCCCCAAACCAAAATACCATTCCAGATCCTGTACACTTAAATATATCACTCTCATTGGAAGTGCTATCAGCATAGTCTTTGCAACTAGCCCAAAGCATATATTTATAAGTTTTTATAAATTGTTTGTGGTGTTCATTATGTTTAATTCATATGCCAAACTGTTTTCTGATGAAGACAGCATTGTGCTTTATGCAAGAATGGAAACCTCAAAATAATCACCATCAAGCTTCTAAGACTTATGGGAGAATAAACTAGGATGGTCCACAGAGATTAAGATGAAATCCACAACGTTGGAATTATAAATGTTTAGAGCGGCCCAGACTAGAAGACAAGCCCAAACCACCATTAGAAGAATGAAATATGATATGGTCCAAAATGTATCCTTAAAGTTTTGTCTCAACCCTCAGTCTGAATAGTGAGGATTGATCTTCAGTTCAGTCCAGCCAGCAGAAATTGACTGTGCAATTTTCCGTTGCATTTATTGTACACAGTATGTACATTCTAGAAGGTTCCTTTAGTGCTACACTGCTGTACTTTTTGTCCCAGCAATTTGAGGGCGTGCAAATTCCACAAAGTCATCAATAAGAACAGGCCATGCTCCTAGAAAAAAGAAAGAACATGGCAGAAAGGGGAAATGAAACACAGAAATAAGGCTAATATTGTAACAGAAGCTCATTTTTAACACATTCTTGGAAAGAGTTGAAGCATATCACTCTTATCTAGTCCCATGGATTATCTTTCAAACTCCAGCTTTATAGAATTCTCAACCAGAAATACAGTATTCTCTAACTATTATTCCAACATGTGCTTACTCTTCAATCAATAATAAAGTATCATGGTTTTCTGAAGGCCAGGGAAATCAGGTAATGAAGCAATGTGATTAAAACTGGCAGCCAAAGGGATATGCCGGCATCTTCCAGTGGTGCAGGGGTCCCGGGAAGTCGCAGCCTTTCCAGGCATTTGTGGTACTCACAGAGATGAAATTAATAACAAGTGTTGGACTCAATCTACTTCATGATAATAGATTATTAAAAGATGTTAAACTCTATGTAATCCCAGCACTTGGAAAGCATTAATACATTGTGTCAGCTTGAGAAGTTTAGAAATTTAACTAAGAGACTCAATAGGGAGCCAGGTTCTTGCTTCGTAAATATCCAGGGCCTGTGCAGAGGAGGGCACAGAGGAGGTGTGAGTGTTGTTTGTTTGTTTTGGTATTGGGGAATCGAACTCACAAGGTTGCCCTTGCCAGGCAGGCTCAGTGGTGTAAGTGCCTGCCTGGCAAGGGCAAGGTTGTGAGTTCGATTCCCCAGTACCAAAACAAACAAACAAAAAGAAATGAAGCCATTTCATACATTCAGAAAAACATAAATATGCTGGGGATATGGCTTGGTGCTTAGCTAGGTTTCATTCCTAGTGCCAGAAAAAAGTAAACATATAAAAAAACAAAAATGTACATAAATAAGAGAAAAATCCAATACTAAGAAAAATGGATATGTTAAGATTAGTAAGAAAGTTCAGGACTGTGTTAAAAAAAAAAACCAATGTAATCACTGTGTACTACAAATATATACTTAAAAAAAATGGCCACGCAGAAATTTTCATTACCTTCTTCATCATAATTAGACATGTCATCTGCAATCATTGTACTGAAGTCTAAAAGAAGATTCCAAGTATCTTTTGGTATTGATCGTTTATGATGTTCCTATAAAAAACCAAAACAAAACAAAAAACATCACTGAAGAGAGCTTATAATGAAGTAGAGATGATATTAAATACAAGAGTACAAAAGAATTATATAATTAAATTTTGGTAATCAAATTTCTCATTTTATGTGTACTATATGTTTGAGATGAGTTAGTCATGCCTTAAAGTATGTTAATTTAAGAGCAGCATAATCTTAGAGACATGAAACTACAGAAAATGTGAACTTACCAACAAAAATTTATTCCATAAGTCTAAGAATTTAAATCTTCCATTAAGCACTAAATTCCAGTAAGCAATGGCCATTTCTAGATCTGTAATGTTAAAAATAAATTATGTACTTCAATACTATAAATATTTTTCCCTACCAAAGAACAGGTAAAACCACAAGTAAACCCTCCCTCCCCCAAAAGAAGCTGCATTGTGAATACTTATGCATTAAAAATTTTCTATAAACCAAAGTCTAAGGTTAGTATACTGCTGTATCCGGCACTCTCACCAGAACAAAAATACCACTACCCCCAAAGTTGCTCAAAAGTTTAAGTCAGAAGATATAGCTAGATATACCTAACTAACCTCTAAGTTTTTTGTTTTGTTTTAATCGGTACCGGGGATTGAACTCAGGGCTGCACACTTGCAAGGCAGGAACTTATGCCGCTGACCTAAATCCCCAGCCAATTCTAAGTACTAAAAAATGTTCACGTGTAGCAGTTGCCTCACCTTCCAGCACTTCTGAGCCTATCACCCTGCGGGGCAGAGCCGGAGACCCAGCAGCCCTTCCGACACTGGCTACTGGCTGGCAGGAGCCGCTATGCTCCACCCCTACTAAGGGCAAAGAACAGCAGGGTCTCCAGACACTGCCGCAAAGATCTCCCGGAGGACACTGCACCCCGTGTAGAGTTACTAATACACACCGATGGGTCGGAATGAAAAGGACGGCAGCTCACAACGCTAAATTATCTTACCCGCCAAGATGTTGGCTAACTGGTCCTAACTACAAGGAGCCCACTAAGAATACTGCTTTTAAAATGAAAATCTATATATAACAAACAGATTTTTTAAAGTTTGTCAATGACAACATAAATAGCTTTTTAATTGGGCAAGAACAGACACAGCACTGCCAACACAACGAAGAACTGCCCCTCATTGGTCATGTAACAGAGAAGACAAACTAGGATCACTTTCTTTTTTTTTTCTACCACTGCTGAGATGAGAAACTAGGATCACTTTCAAGGAACGGAAGCAGTAAGAAACTTATCTACCTTTTAAGAATAAGAATAACTTCATATCTCCAGGACAAAAATAATTACAACTTGGGAAATTAAAAAATCTTTTCACATGTGATCTCAAACTTGAGACAGGGTTTCCCCTACATATTCGAAGCTGCCTTCAACTTGCTATGGAGTCCAGGCTGGCCTCAAACCTTCGATCCTCCTGCCTCAACCTCCTGAGAGCTGAGATTAGAGATGTGCACCACCTCCATAGCTCAAACCATGACAGAACAGGAAAGAAAAAGGTGAGCAAGTGCTGCTCTAATTTTTAAAAATAACAAAAAGTAAACCTGATGCTGATTTACTAATAAAAAGTTACCTAAGAAATTCAATTAAAAATCACAAATATTAAAAAATTTTAATTTTAAAAAGTCACAAATAGAAATTTTGAAGGACTCATTAAAATAAATTGTAAAGAACCAACCTTTCTTTTATGAGGACTCTCAGATGACAAGAGGGAGGTATTCAATATCCTTCCAGTGATACAGAAAATGTTCTAGCATATAAAGAGAACTTGAAACTAGGATAATGAGTAGTTAACTTGATTTAAAAACACGTTTCCCCAAGTGTTAAAACATTAAGGATGAGCTAGGGGACACTCTCTCCAAGGGCATCCTTGTCAAGCCCTTTCTGTCTTGGAGCCAGCCCACCAGTGACAGAAACCTCTAACACACTCAAATAAACCTCTCCTCCTCCAGCAGAGTGTTCTGTCCCAGTGACAGGACAGTGACTAATGCACTCCTTTGCTAATTTCCCTTCTCATGGGACACCACCCTCCGAAAGAACTCAATCGAGCAGGCAGGCACTCAACAACTTCTATCCGAATTGCAGTAATTCTAAATGACTCAGGTCAGCTATTCCCATATGTGTCTCTAAGTAATGTCCAAAATGCAGACATTTCTGGTCATCGTTTTTATTTTTTTGGTAGTCTCAGCCCAGTTCCTGTATCAGTGATTTGTCCCCTGTGATTTGATTCTCTTGGTTTGTCCTCCTGACTCTATTACATCACTCGAATGACCATCACAACATAACTAAGCTCGCTGTATCCTGAACGAGAACCACCACGTTCTACGGAGCAAACACCAGGTCGGCCCAGCACTTTGTTTTTGTCTCCACCATCGCCTACCACGTACTTGTGCAAACCTACCATGTTCACTGATGTCTTAGGCAACGGGTCACAGTCTTCTGACCCCACGTTCTGCCATCATCCTGAAGGATTTTGACATCCATATGAAAAGTCAAATACCCATGATAACCTAAAAACTGCATCCACCATAAAAGTAACTCCACCAAAAGACCATTTGAACTGATAAATTCTTTAAGGTAGCATGATACAAAATCAGTGTATAAACACCAGCAGCATCTTTTTTACACCAACAACAAACTTGCTGAGTGAGTCTATAAAAGCAACCCCATTCACCATAGCTATAAGGAAATAAAATACATTTAACCAAGGACATGAAAGACCTATGCAATGAAAATTTTAAAAAATACTGATGACAAAAAAAAACATTGATGACAGAAACTGACATCAAAAAATGGAAAAAAGATCTCCCATGTTCCTGAACAACTACTTTCAAGATAATAATATATAACATATTAATCATTGTTAATCTATTTTTTGTTTTTAAATTCTGTATTATTCTTTTTTTATTTTAAAATTTTTAAAAATGGGGGAAAAAAGATCTCCCATGTTCACAGACTAGGAGAATTAATATTGTTAAAATTTCCATAACTACCAGGACAATTTACAGGTTTAATGTAATTCCTATCAAAATATACCAATGACATTCTTCAGAGAACTAGTAAAAACTATCAGAAAACTCACATACAAGCCCAAAAGATCCCAAATACAGGCTGAGCTATAGCTCAGTAATAAAGCACTTTCCTAGATTACACAAGCCCTAGCTTCAAAATCCAGAGAGAGGGGGAACCCAAAACAGAACAAAAACTAAATGGTCAAAGTTGTCCTGAACAAAAATAATAAAGCTGGAGGCACCTTAATGTCAGGTTTCAGAGCTTTAGTACATACTATAGAGCTATAGTAACCAAAGCAACATGGACCAGACAAAATAGATGCCCAGAAATAAAACCACATATCTACAGTCAGTTAACTGATTTCTGACAAAGGTGCCAAAATCATACACTGGAAAGAGAACATTCTTTTCAATAAATGGTGCTGGGCAAAGTAGAACTCCATGTTGAAACTTGAGCCCTAACTTGCACCATATTAAAAAGAAAATCACCTCAAAACAGATCTAAGCCCTAAATATAAGATCTAAACAAAAAAGTAAACATAAACACTTTAAAACATCAATATAGGTAATGATTATTTTCCAGAAGACTCCCAAGACACAGAAAACAAAAGCAAATAGAGACAAACTAAGAAACTCTGCATAGCAGAAGAAACAATCAACAGAATAATGTATAAAGTAGGAGAAAATACTTGAAAATTATTCATCTGACAAATGACTAATAAATGTATAATTAACTTAGAACCCACAATAAAAATCCTACACAATTCAAGGGGAAAAATGGGCAAATAATATGAATAGTTGTTTCTCGAGAAAAGTAGAAAGAAACAGCTATTGGGGGAAAATGCTCAATATTAGCAATCAGGGAATACAAGTCAAAATCAGTATGATATACCATCTAACCCAGTTTACTGGCCATTATCAGAAATATTTTTTAAAATATCAATAAATGCTAGCAAGGGTATGGAGAAAAGGGAACTCTTATGCACTACTAGTGAGAATGCAATAAATTAGCACAGCCATTATAGACTGCCATTATAAAGGAGAGAGCATAAAAATTTCTCAGAAACTAAAAGTAGATGTGCCAGTTGGCCATCCCACTTCTGGCTATCTACTCAAAAGAAATGATGTACTTCATTTCTTTTGAATGAAACACCAGGACCCCAATGTTTACTGCAGTACTATTCACAATAGGCAAAATCTGGAATCAGCATAGGTGTTTATCAGTGGATAAAGAAACAAGGGAAGAGATACACGGTGGACTGCCACTCAGACATGAAGAATGAGATACTGTCAGGAGCAGCAAATTGGTAAAAAGAGCGGGGAGGGCAAGAATCTCTTCAATCTCTCCTGCCAGACTTTCCAGCTTCCCTCCCTCCATCTCCAAGCACAGAATCCCTGCTTCAAAGACAAACACAGGAGTTCGATCCCTGGTACCGTAAAAATACAAAAGAAAAAAAAAAAAAAAGACAAACACAGATTCACAAAAGGCAGAAAGTTTCCCATCGTCCCTGGACTACACACCCCCTGAGAATGTGACCACTTCCCTGAACACACAGCAGGCATTCAGAAACTGAGTGAGCACACAGAGAAGGTCATACTTTACCTTCAAACCCATCTCTCATTTCCTCTTAAACTCAATGGAAGAGACGTCACCTCTGCTTCTTCTATGCAATGAGACATCCCTCCTATCTCTATTCTGGACATTCTACCACCCTGCCTATCAAGGGACACTGCCTACTGACAGTTGTCCTCACCTCTGCGCTTTCTCCAAGAAACACACCTGAGCTACTATCTTATTAAAATCTTTTCTGGACCCCATACCCTATTAATAGTACCTACCCTCTTACTCCTTCCCTGCACAGATAATCCTGAAACAGTACATGCAGTTGTCTACTTTTATACATAGTTCGTTCCTTAAAACATAACTGAAAGTCAAAACCAGATCCCCCACTATACTGTCCAGGCAGCATCAGACTCACTAAGTAGCCCAGACTGACCTCAAATTCATGATCTTCCTGTCTTGGTCTCCTAAATGCCGAGATTATCAGCTTTACCACAGATCTTCACACCTTAAGGGAACTAAAAAATTGACACCAATTTCCTCTCCCCACAACAACACCAATTCCCATTTCTAATTCCTTTTTTTTTGGTTATCAGGGATTGAACTCAGTCTTGCACTTGCCATGCAAGTACTTGTACCACTTAGCGAAATCCCTGGCCCCTGTAATCTTTTTATTCTTTGCAGTCTTTGAAGCTCTTTCTTCAGGGCTGGGTATTTAGCTCAGT